TGGAACATTCCAAAGAATAACAATAAGTTATTTGCTTCTATGTTTATACTGAACACTGTTGAGGAGAGCTGTAAGTCAACAGGAAGTGTCTCTTCTGTCCAGGCTGTCCGCTGCTGTCTGTCAGATGTGACTCCTCCGGATGGAAAGAGGTGGAGCGACGCCTGCAGCCACAGATTCAGCAGCCTGGCTCACCAGAAGCTGGTCACTATTGTGGCGACAGGTACTGCGTCTTCATGTTATCCAGTCGTAGGGACGGGTATGGTGAGGATTTGATCCATACTGGTACTCTTATCGATACTGCATTTTGATATTGCGTCACTCATTTTTTTATCCCCGTCTTTATTTCCTCACCTGTGCCCCTCCAGGTCAAGTCCCTAAGTCTGAGCCTCTGCCGGTGAAACTGTTTGAAAGTCCTCTGAACGGACCGCTGGTCAACATCGCTGAGCTGCTGGTCAGAGAGCAGCTGGCCTCCTTCAAAGAGGGGTGAGACTTCAACCACATCAGAGTTCAACAGCATGAACCCAAAACAAACTTTTATTGCACTAAACGGATAAAAGACGATGCCGAAATATCAACACAATGGTGCTGATTTGTAAAAAGTTTGAGTTCATGCTTTGTTAGGTCAGTCAGCGAGACGACAAACAAACAAACAGTTAAAATGCATGTTTTCTGAATGGAGTTTGGATCGATCAGTACAAGGCTTTGCCATCTCCTCCCTCTCCTGCAGACTGCAGTCATCGGATGCTGGAGAGGAGTCGGCCATCTGGGACTCTCCTCTTGAGCTCGGCTTATCCACGGATGCTCAGGAACAAAATGTCTCCGGAGATCAGAGCGAAGAGCCGCTGGAGTTTCATCCTCAGCTGACGCTCCCGGATCAACTGAAAGACCTGAAAGTGAGAGTGAGCCACGTGAACTCACCGAGCAGCTTCTACGTCCAGTTCACCCAGTACGACGCTCAGCTCAAAAGGTCAGCTCTTAAACAAGCAAACCATGATTATAAACGATTTAAATACACTTTTCACTGTCGATGAATGACTTTTTATGAGACAAACATGACGATCCTACAGCAACAGGATGTGTAGCTGTAGACTGTGTGTTGATGGAGTCTCTGTGTGTGTCTCAGGATGTGTAGCTGTAGACTGTGTGTTGATGGAGTCTCTGTGTGTGTGTGTGTCTCAGGATGTGTAGCTGTAGACTGTGTGTTGATGGAGTCTCTGTGTGTCTCAGGATGTGTAGTTGTAGACTGTGTGTCTCAGGATGTGTAGCTGTAGACTGTGTGTTGATGGAGTCTCTGTGTGTGTGTGTGTGTCTCAGGATGTGTAGCTGTAGACTGTGTGTTGATGGAGTCTCTGTGTGTGTGTGTGTCTCAGGATGTGTAGCTGTAGACTGTGTTGATGGAGTCTCTGTGTGTGTGTGTGTCTCAGGATGTGTAGCTGTAGACTGTGTGTTGATGGAGTCTCTGTGTGTGTGTCTCAGGATGTGTAGCTGTAGACTGTGTGTTGATGGAGTCTCTGTGTGTCTCAGGATGTGTGAGCTGGTGAAGGAGGAGGTTGAGCTCACGGAGCCTGAACACCTGGAGTGGAAGGAAGACGAGTTTTGTGCTGCTCTCATCAACGGCGTCTGGGAGAGAGGACGCATCTGCTCACACGTCACATCAGAAGACTCTACAGAGGTTTAGATACTCAAGTGTTTGTCTTCTGTTACAACTTTATATACTGGAGACTAGAGGAGGAAGGAAGAGGAGGATTAGGAGAGAGGATAAAGGAAGGAGGAGGGAAGTGAACCTCTGTTGGTTAGCCGTTAGCGGTGCTGCTAACGTTACTAGCTCTCCTCCTATTGGTTAGCCGTTAGCGGTGCTGCTAACGTTACTAGCTCTCCTCCTGTTGGTTAGCCGTTAGCGGTGCTGCTAACGCTACTAGCTCTCCTCTGATTGGTTGTTTACAATGAAACATGATCAGAGACTAGAAACGCATGTTCGACTGAACGTTGGAGGATATTAAGTCTCAAAGGTTGTTATGAACTGATACAATGACATCGTCTCTCTGCTACCAGGTGATGCGCTCTGACCATGGCAACAAGGTGAAGCTCCACGTCAGCAACCTGAGGACGTTACCGCTCTCCTTAACGGGCTCTCTGGCTCTGGAGTGTTCTCTCACTGACATCAGGTCACACACACACGGACACATACACACACGGACACACAGACGGACACACTCACAGACAGACTCACACAGGCAATTCCTTCTGTCTCAGTCTCTTTCATGGTTCTTATTTCCTCTCTTTCAGGCCAGCAGGAGGCCGATCCACCTGGACGGCGACGGCCTGCGACTTGATCTCCTTCTACCTCAACGGAGCCTCGGCTGTGATGACCATCAAGGTCTTCCTCTGCTCACCATGGCCCCTTTTCTTACTCCTTTATCTACATATTATTGTTATTAGTTATTTTAGTCATTTCCCTCTTTGCTCTCCACTATGCACCTCTTGTCTTTGTTGCTGCACTGACCTAGTTTCACTATATGTATGTATGTATGTATGTATGTATGTATGTATGTATGTATGTGTATATATGTGTATGTGTATGTATATATATATATATACGCGTGTGTGTATGT